GCAATCATGCTGGTCTCCTTGCGGCCCCACGACACCCCCACTCTGTTAGGTCCCCTCTGAAGTCTCCGCCTTTGTCCGATATGCCCAAGTTCCCTCCTCTACATATAGATTCCTAGCAGCCCTGACAGGCCCAGGGCAGACCCTCCTCACCCATCGAACCCATGACATTTCCCAAGCATCAAATGTTGAGAGTGCGCCCGAGGGAAACACCCCAAAAGGCGGAAGAACATTCGGCCACAATGGTGCAGAAATTCTCAGGGAAGGCTGTCTCGCCGAGCATGCGGAGAAGCTCACTGTGTGGGAGTCAAGGAGGCATCGTCAGCCCGGGATTACGGCGGGGCTCCCCCTCTCCGCGGCGGGCAGCCCGGGATTACGGCGGAGCGCCCCCCGTCTCCAGGGCGGGCCGCCCGGGATTACGGTGGAGAACCCCCTCTCCGCGGCGGGCCGCCCGGGATTACGGCGGGGCTCCCCCTCTCCGCAGCGGGCCGCCCGGGATTACGGTGGAGAACCCCGTCTCCGCAGCGGGCCGCCCGGGATTACGGCGGGGCTCCCCCTCCGCGGCGGGCCGCCCGGGATTACGGCGGGGCTCCCCCTCTCCGCAGCGGGCCGCCCGGGATTACGACGGGGCTCCCCGTCTCCGCAGCGGGCCGCCCGGGATTACGGCGGGGCTCCCCCTCTCCGCAGCGGGCCGCCCGGGATTACGGCGGGGCTCCCCCTCCGCGGCGGGCCGCCCGGGATTACGACGGGGCTCCCCCTCTCCGCAGCGGGCCGCCCGGGATTACGACGGGGCTCCCCCTCTCCGCAGCGGGCCGCCCGGGATTACGGAGGAGCGCCCCCGTCTCCGCGGCGGGCCGCCCGGGATTACGGCGGAGCTCCCCCTCTCCGCGGCGGGCCGCCCGGGATTACGGCGGAGCGCCCCCTCTCCGCGGCGGGCTCCACGCTGAAAGGGAGCCGGGGAGCCCTGCAGCCCCTTAGTTCTGAGTTACAGGTGTGCTTCCGTGAAGAAAGTCCATCTCTTTGTCGTGCTCCAGTAGGGTTCCTACACGCCCTCACCCTGTCCCTCACGGAGTATGAGGAGCGGGGAAGCACTGGCCAAAGGAGACGTGCTGAAGAGTGTCCTCCCTGTGCCACTAAAGGGCTGTCTAGTTCCCACCCCAGAGCTGGGAAACTGCACAGGCCACAGGCTCACCGCAAGGCAGCTGGCTGCCCTGCTGCCTCCTTGCTGCTTCCGTCACCTGCTGCCACTCTGCGAGTAGAGCACTGAGGCTCCTCTGACCTCTGAGGATCGCACAGCAGGGAGCAAGCAGGACACGGGAAGGCCACGCCCTGCAGTGTAAGATTCCAGAACACTGCCTATGGAAACCAATATGCATAAATCAAGGAATCTATCAAATGACATCAAAATACTAAGTGGAGAAGTTATTTTATTTGATGGTAGTCATAAATTATCGACAAGGAATTGGTTGCATTTTATCAGCATTTACAACTCATATTCTGTTTGCCTCATTCCAACTTGCTATTTTAGTTGCGCTTTTGGTTATAAGCAAAAGAACCAACTCCAGCACGATTTAAACAACAAGCAAACCCACTGACAGAACACCAGGGTATCTCATGAACTCTGAGCCAAAGTCAAGAACAGAGAAGGACCCAATCAGCTCCAGAACTCAGCAGAGGGCATCATGGAACCTCTCACACAGAATTCCCTTAGTCTGACTTCAGCTCCTGTGATTTCCAGCCTGCCTCTCCCACTCCCCACTCCAGTTTTAATTCCTAGGAGAGAATACACTTTGCACACAACTTAGGTCAAATGTCCTCCTCAGACACAACCATCTATGACCAAAAAAATGTGTTACAAGAGTAACATACTACAAACATGGCCCCAGGGGCCCCGCCTGGTTGGAAAGGCACCAGTTCCAGAGAGGGGGACATGTTGGGATCCAGGGACCACCTCAGGAGACGTCTGCTTATTGCATATACTTTTTTCTCCTTTTTTTTACCCTTTTCCCTTCTCCTAAAACCTCCTGCCCCCCAGTTATCAATATCTGTATTTCATTGTATAAAATGGTACTTTGGTGGGCTTAAAATGTCCTGCTAGGTGTATATATATTTTATATATAATTAAAATAATTAAAGGGCAGAAAAATGACCTTATGTTATTCTACAAATTAGAATTTATATGATTCAATTTGATTGTGTGCATACAGGCACCAGTTTAGGTAACATAGTCCACAGGAGACTGGCAATTAGATATGGTCTGTGATAAAGTAGCTTTTACTCTTACAACCATGGGATAGTCTCTTGATTATTAAAGATGTTCAGGGGCCCAGAAATAAACCCACACCTATAAGGTCAATTAGTTTACCACAAAGGAACTAAGAACGTACAGTGGGGAAAGGATAGCCTTTTCAATAAACAGTGTTGAAAATCTGGACAGCCACATGCAAAATGTTACTATGTTACACCACACTAAACATGGACTCAAAATGGTGGAAGACTTGAAAGTGAGACTATAAAACTAGAAGAAAACACAGGCGGTAAGCTCCTTGACATGGACCTTGGCAACATTTTTTGGATCTAACTTCAAAAGCAAAGGCAACAATAGAAAAAATAAACAAGTGGGACTACAACAAACTAAAAATCTACCGCATAGCAAATGAAATCATCAACAAGTGAAAAGGTAACCTACTAAATGGGGAAAAGATGTGCAACTATGAACCTGATAACGGGTTAATATCCAAAATACATACAACTCAATAGCAAAAAAAAAAAAAATAGATGAAGAACCTGAATAGATATTTTTCCAAAGAAAGATACAGATGCATGAAAAGATGCTCAACATCATTAATCATCAGGGAAATGCAAATCAAAACCACAGTAAGCCCTGGCTGGTGTGGCTCAGCAGTAGAGCATCGGCCCATGGACCAATGAGTCCTGGGTTTGATTCCAGCCAAGAACCTCTGTTGCAGTTTGTCCCTGGCCCTGGTCGGGGTCATGCAGGAGGCAACAAGTTGATGTGTCCCTCTTATATCAATGTTTCTCTCTGTCTCCCTGCCTCTCCCTCCCTCTCTACCTGAAGATAAATAGGAAAAGATCCTTGGGTAAGGATTAAAAAAAAAAAAAAAAAACCCACAATAAGATATCTCCTCATCCTTGTTAGAATGTCTATTATAAAATAAAAAATTTAAAAAAAAAAGGAAATAATAAAGAAACCCTTGTTTGTGGACTGTTAGTGGGATTATAAATAGGTGCGGCCACAATGAAAAACAGTAGGGAGGTTCCTCAAAAAAACTTAAAAAATAACTACAGATGTTCCAATAATCCCAATTCTGGATATTTATCCAAAGAAAAGAAAAACACAACTTCGAAAAGATATATGCACCCCCATACTCATTGCAGAATTATTTATAATACCCAATAAATGGAAAAGATATGAAAACAACCTATGTGCCATCAATGGATGAATAAAGGAATTGCCACACACTCATACTCACACACACGCACGCTTGTGTGCACAATGGAATACTATGCAGCCTTAAAGAGAATGTAATCTTGCCATTTGCAACAGTATGAGAGGCCCTTGAGGGCATTATGCTACGTGAAATAAGTCAGGCAGAGAAAGACAAATAGTGTATGATCTCCCTTACATGTGGAATTTAAAAAACAAAACACTAAGCACACGGAAACAGAGAATAGATTGGTGGTTGCCAGAGACCGGGTGTAGAGGGTGAGCAAAATGAGTGAAGGAGGTCAAAAGGCACAACTCCCAGTTTAAGGTAAACATGTCCTGGAGATGTGATGTGCACCATGGTGACTGTAGTTAATACTGCATTGCACACTTGAAAGTTGCTAAAAAGAAGTATATCTTAAAAGTTCTTATCACATGAAAAAAAATGCCTGTAACTATGTGTGGTGACGAATGTATTGTGATCATTTTGCAATATATACAAACATAGATTCATTATGTTGTACACCTGAAACTAATATGTTTTATTTCAATTATACCAAAATTTTTTAAAAACAGTTTTAATTTTTAAAAAGATGTTCAGTTCATTTTCCGAAAATGAAATCTAGACATTTACTAATAGCAGATAATCTGGAAGATAAAGAACATATACAGTATGTGTATCCTGTATGCTTCTTACAATGCTCTATGAAGAAAGTTCTTCTTGGACAACGTCAATGACCTTTTCTAGACTGTTATCTTCCTCCTGTGGTATCTGTACACCTTTACTTCTTGAAAGTTGATACAACGGTCGCCTTGGGCCAAGGCTGCCAAGTCTAGCCCAAAAACGACCTCGCATTTTATCTACTGTGTCTATAGAATTATCTTGTTAGGTCTCATTCACACTGAAAGAACAACATCGACCCCAAACCATTACTGTACCCCAAGCCAGGTTATCTTCCTATGTCCATTATGAAATAACAGCTACCCACTTCTGTCTAGTGGTGGGAATGTTACAACCCTGGCAATTATGAGATGACACTGACATCAATCTGCACACTTCTACCGATAAACAGGCCTGCAGACTGGAATACATGTTGGTGTTTGACTATCAAATAACGATTGTCCCGAAAACCTTACAGTTCTTCGGATGAGCACGTCTAACAAGCCTAATGCTGCATCGTTTGGATTAAATTGCTCCCAAATATAAAGCAAACCAACAAGCACTGAGGAATTTCAGTTCTCTGCCCATAAACTTTGTGAATTACGTGGGATCAAAAGGCTGCCGAGGGGCGTCTGTCTTCCCACTCCCAGAATCGCTCGGCACCCCTTAAAGCCATGCTCGTTTTGGAAACGACCCACAACCCTGCAGAACCGACCGGGCTGACGAAGACTACAAGTCCCACGATGCATCGCAGGGGCCCTGACCTCGGTTGGCCTCCGCGCCTCCTGGGAGTTGTCGCCTTCTCATCAACCTGCCGGGCAAACGCGGCACCAGAGTCTGAGTTTCTCAGACTGTATACGAATAGCGCTGTGGCGGAGAAAAGAGAATTCTTACCGCAAAACTGCGTTGCAGCCAGCTGCCAAAACCCTGGCCCAAGTCTGGCCAACGCCTCCGGGGGTGGTGCCGTGGGTTGCGTCACTTCCGGGGCGCCGCTCGCCCCGCCCCTCGCGCCCGGGCGCGGGCTCCAGGTCGGCAGCGGGCGGGCGCGCGGAGCCGCTGCAGCCGGGGCGGCGTCACGTGCGGCGGCTCGTGGAGTGGGTGGAGACGGAGAGCCGCCGCGCAGGGGTCGGACCGAACCGTCACGGGACGCGGGCTCGATCGGGACCGCGGACTGGGCTGAGGTGGGGACACAGCGGCGGCGTGGTCTGGGCGCTCGTGCGGTGACACCTGCGCCCCGCGGCGGGCGGAGGGCGCCGCACAGTCCCCGGGGCCCGCAGGCCAGCGCCGACGGCGGGGGCCCGGGACCCCCCGTGGGGAGCGGCCGTCGTGGGCCCGGGACCCCGGTGCGGGCGGGCTGAGCCTGCCGCCCCCCGCCGCCCGCACCTGCCCGCGGGCTCCGCCGTCTGGGCGCCAAGAGAGCGCAGACGCCCCCCTGAGCCTCCGCGTCCGCAGGTCGGAAGCGCCCTTGTTGGCGGGCGGGCCCGGTACGTCCTACGAGACCCGGGAGCGCGGGGCGGCCAGATGGGCCATGGGCGGCCGAGGTTCGGAGCCGGCGGAACCGGGCGCTGCGGGTCCAGCGTTTGTCTACGGGCGGGGCCGGCTGAGACTCGCTCTCGGGCGTTGGGAGTGCGCGTGCCGCCTCCTTCCCCGCCGGCGGCTGCCCTGGGTCCAGCGGACCCCGTGGTCGTGTCCGCGCGCTGGTCCGCGGTTCCTGCCGTTCCCAGGGTATTATTTGAGGACTTCTCCGCCAACCTCCCCTGCTCGGTGTCCTGATGGAGTTGTTCCGTGATGAGACCCGCCAGCCCTGTTGGCAGCAGGAGTTACTGAGCATGCGTGGTGGAGAGTTCGTGCCCTCCGTTGGGGCCTGGTGGAGTCCGTGGTTATCGGAACCGATGAAGGACGTTTATTTATTTGCTTTTTTTCTTTATTGATTTTAGAGAGAGGAAGGGGGGGCGGAGAGACAGAAATATCCATGAGAAAGAACATCAACTGGCCGCCTCCTGCACGCCCCCCACTGAGGATCGGGCCCACAACCTGGGCATGTGCCCTGACCGGGAATCAAACCGGTGACCTCTTGGTGCAGGGTCAACGCTCAACCACTGAGCCACACCAGCGGCTGATGAAGGGGGTTTAAGTAAACGGTGGACTCTTTTCATCTCCTGGGAGACAAGTTTCATGTTCATTCGGGTTTATTTGATTTATTTAATCAAGCCCTCCCCCTCCCCCAAATGCATTGGAGCCTGGATTTCATGAACTGTTACTTGAAGAGCTTCTGGTTCCACTATTGTCCCTTCCTTTGGATGAGTCTTTAAAGCTTCACTAATTCAAAAGGTGATGTGAATAATTTTCCTTCCCCTCTCCCCTCTTCCCTTCTCTCCTTTTTTCCCTGTGCTGTAGTCAGGACTAGATGCAGAAAATAAAACCTCAGGAAGGTGGAAACAAACATTACGAAAATCTATCACAAAGAAGTAGAGTGGAGCTGGTGGGAATGCAGACTGGTGCAGCCACTATGGAAAACAATATGGTGTTACCTCAAAAAATTAAAAATTGAACTTCCATTTGACCCAGTGATCCCACTTCTAGGAATATACCCTAAGAAGCCTGAAACACCAATCAGAAAGAATATATGCACCCCCATGTTCATAGCAGCACTAATTACAATAGCTAAGATCTGGAAACAGCCCAACTGTCCATCAGTAGACGAATGGATAAAAAAGTTGTACATATACACAATGGAGTACTATGCAGCTATAAGAAAGAAAGATCTCTTATCCTTTGAGACAACATGGAGGTTCCTGGAAAGTAGTATCCTAAGTGAACCAAGCCAAGCAGAAAAAGATAAATACCACATGATCTCACTTATATACGGAATATAATGAACATAACAGTCTGAGGAATAAGGTAGACCCAGAAACATGGAAGTGGGATACAGACTGACAACCCTCAGAAGAGGGGGTGGTGGGGGGAGGGAAGAGATAAACCACAGAACTTATATGCATGTATGCATAATTAATGGACGTGGACAACAAAGCCGGGGACGGGGCAGGGGGATGGGGAGAAGGGTATCAATGGGGTAAAAAAGGAGAAACATCTGTAACAAAAATATAGTTAAAAATTTTAAAAAAAGGTAGAGTGGAGAAGAAAAGGATAACATGAGTGTCAAGAAAAAGGGTGTGGATTTCTGCTCTCTTTAACTTGCAAATAAGAGTCCTTGGAGATAATATTTTGCATTTAAAGGGAAGAGATTTGGGGCCTGTTTTCATTCCAGATAAAGTAATAGAGCGTCACAAAATTAAAAGAAATGGATAAGAACATTGTGGGGTTTTTGGATAATGCCACAGATTAAAGACCAGTCTTTCAACATGTTCTTCTCATTTTCTAGATAGCGAATTCCCAGGAAGAAGAAAATGGATTGCACATCAGTTGTTCTCTAAATATTTGGTCGCAGCAGTGTGCAGGTTTGTTGCAAAGCCCCAAAGAAAATGGCAACTCCTTATGTCCCAGTTCCCATGCCCATAGGGAGCTCGGCTTCTGGTTTTACGACCAACAGAAACCAAAGAAGTTCTTCTTTTGGGAGCATCTCAACAAGCTCAAACTCTTCCAAAGGCCATTTGGAAGACTCACATGTGGGAAATGTGAAACAGACAGATGTACATCATCAAACGGGTAGCACTTCATCAGTCTGCAGCAGCCCCCTTCTTAGGACTAAATTTACAAATGCAGATTCCTGCATTGAGTATTCTACTAGACCGAGAGACAGTGAAGAAGAGAATCCTGAAACAGAGAATTTGGAAGATAGGCCTTCCACACCTACGATTCTGGGTTACGAGGTGATGGAAGAAAGAGCTAAATTTACTGTGAGTATCGACCTTTGCTGCACAGCAGTAACCAGTGAAAGACTGGCCCTGGCCAGTTTTGCTCAGCAGTTAGAGCATTGCCTGCAGACCTAAGGGGAAGGGTTTCGGGTTCGATTCCCAGTCAAGAGCACATACCTGGGTTGTAGGTTTGAGCCCTGGCCCGATTGGGGTCATGTAGGAGGCAACCGATCTGTGTGTCTCTATCATATAAATGTTCCTCTCCCTCTTTCTCCCCCCCTCTCTCCCTCCCATCTCTAAAAACCAATTGAAAAATATGCATGGGTGAGGATTAACTCCCCCCCCCAAAAAGCGAAGAAAGTGAAAGACTGACTCACCTTATTCTACACCTATGTTAAATTTGTTAATGTTGGCATGTACTTGTAATTTCATGAAGATGAAATTCAAGTGGTTTTTGTAGTCTAAATCCTGTCCTTGTGGTAAGTAAACTTGCCGTACTTGAATGAATTGTCACAAACCAGACATATCTGTGAAGCTGGCACCCAGATTGAGAAAGAACATAACTAGCATCCATCACCACCACCATGCTGCCCTTCAGTCAGTACCCTCTTTCCTGGTAGCCTACATTAATTTTGCCTATATTTGTGCTTTATATAAGGGGAATTGTTGAGTGTGTACTCTTTTGGGTATGATCTCTTCAGCATTGTGTGTGTGAGACTCCTCGACCTTGCATGTAAAGGTAGGCAGCTCATTTTTATTACTGATACTGTTCCTTTGTGTGAATGTATATCCATTCTCCTGTTGCAGAGAACTTGGATAATTACCCATTTGGGGTTCTTGAAAATACCACCACTATGAACCTTGTAGTGCTTGTCACTCAGTACACACATGGATGCATCTTTGATGTCTGCCAAGGAATAAAATTGCTGGGTCATATTCTCAGCTTTAGAAGATACGAGCAATGTACCAGAGTGGCTGTATAATTTATTCTCTTATAAGCAGTGTATGAGAGTTCCAATCACCCCACACTTTCCCAACATGTGGTATTTTTCCATCTTTTTCATTTTAACTATTCTGGTGGGTGGAGTAATATCAAATTGTGGTCTTAATTTGCATTTCTTAATGACTAATGAAATGGAAGATAATTTTTGGCCATTTGGATAATCTCTTTTGTGAAGACTCTGTTCGAGATCTTTATACATTTTTCTTTGGGGAAGCCTTTTCCACTTTACTTTATAGTTTTCTGTGCATTTTGGACATGAGTCTTACTCATGAACATGTATCGTGAGTATCATCTCTCTGCTTTGCCTTTTCACACCCTTAGTGATTGATGCATTTGATAAATAAATGTTCTTAATTTTATTTATTTTTTTAATTTTTTTTTTATTCCTCACCTGAGGATTTTTTTTTTTCTACTTATCAGATAGAGTGGGAAGGAGGGAGAGAGACGGAGAGAAACATCAATGTGATAGAGCCACATTGACTGGTTGCCTCTTGAACAACCCAACCAGAACCAAGGACAAACCACAACCAAGGTACATCCCCTTGACCGGAATTGAACCCGCGACTCATTGGTCCTCGGGCCAATGCTCTAACTGCTGAGCCAAACCAGCCAGGGCAAAGGCTCTTAATTTTAATACAGTTCAGTTTGTTAACGTTTTCTTATGTGGTCAGCACTCTCCAAAAACCTGCCTACTCACATCGAACAATGTCCTATATTTTCTTCTAAACATACTGTGATTCTTTTAGATCAGGACTTTCTAAAAGTTTGATTGTTCTACCTTTCGTATCTATATCTATAAACCACCTGGAATTGAGTTTTGTCCATGGTGTGATCTCCATATGAGATCATATGATCAGTTTTTATTGAGACCACTGCTCTCTCCTCTACATTTGCACTGTTCCTGTGACACAGATCGGATCATAAATGTGTGGGTCTGTTTCTGGGTTCCATTCTTCCTTTCTTGACCAATTCTACAGTCTTGATGATTAAAGCTTCCTGATAGGTCCTGGTGTCTGGCTCCAGCTGTGTGGCTCTTCGGGGCTGTCTCGGCCGCTCTGGGCCCTCTGTGTTGGGATTGTACTAAGCTCAGGCTCATCTGGGAGAACGGACGTCGTTGCAGTGCCGAGTTCTAGTCTGTGAAGTCAGTCCCTTTACTTCTGTCATTCACTTTTCAGAATGACGATCTGTAGTTTTCAGGGTAGAGGTCTAATACTTGGTTAGATTTATGTCCAGGTGTGGATGTTGTTGGATGTTCTTTGTAGTTTTTTCTGTTTTATGTTTGTTCTTTGCCAGTTTATATATATCAGGCTTGTGTATTTATGTATCCAGTGACTTCACTAAATTCACTTATTAGTTGAAATTGTTTTTCTCTTGTACTTTATTGAGGTAAAGTTTATATGTTTATGCCTTATCTTGTTACAGATTTACAGTAGTATGGAAGGACCTCCAAGAAAAAATCATTGAGAAAATTTATGGAGAGACGATCTTTACAGTTAAATTAGCATAAGAATGATGATGTGTTGAGAAATTTGCAAGAACCTTTTTGTTTTCTTGATTTTTAGGGAGAGAGGAAGGAAGAGGGAGAGAGAGAGAGAGAAATATTGACGCGAGAGAACATTGATTGGCTGCCTCCTGCACGCCCCCCACTGTTGATTAGCCACAACCTGGGCATGTGCCTTGACCAGGAATCGAACTGGTGACCTCTTGGTGCCGAGTTAACACTCAACCACTGAGCCACACCTGCCAGGCTAATTCTTTCATATTATAAGCTTTTTTAAATAGTGACATGCTTCAAGTTTTTCTATTCAATAGCCTAGATAATTGTGCATAATTATATAAATGTAAACTTTTATCTAATATGGGTATTTTCAGCTTGTATTTCAGCCTTGAAGATTAAAACATCAAACTTATTTAAAAAGTTTGCCTGGTAGTATTAAGTTTAAAATTAAATTGATTGTATAATGGACAAGAGTGGCTATTTCTCATAGCTTTTTCAGGCATGGATGATTCTTTTATCAGTTTTAAAATGTGTGGCATAAAATATATTTTGGAAACTGATGAGTTCATTTATTCTTAGTGTGCACCCAAGAAAGCATTTTATCACACATTATCATACTCTTGTTTCTTAAGAAAAAAATCTTGCTTTTGGTGCCTACATCAACTGTACATTTCATGGTCTAAATGATTTCTGATATTTTTAACATAATAGTTGTTATGATCTAGATTGTCAAGTAAAAGTTTTTTAAATATTTTATTTGAATTTTTAAATATCTTTATGTATTTTTTAACCTTTCCTCTCATAGGTATATAAAATACAAGTAAAGAAAAACCCAGAAGAAAGCTGGGTAGTTTTCAGAAGATACACTGACTTCTCTAGGCTTAATGATAAAGTAAGTACTTTAACAAATCTCAAATGGACTTTTCAGTTTTGACTTACCAGTTCCTAACAGTTCTGCTGTTATATTTGTGTTTTTTCTTCCTTGTTAATTATTTGCTAGTTCCTAAGAAAATTCACTGTTTCCTTTCTCTTTAGTAGCCTAAAGTCCCATCTCTACACATAGCTTTCTGTTTTTGAAAGCAAGAAAAAAATGTGAAAGCCTTAAAATTATTAACACAAATATAATTAAAATACACCTGTTTGTTACCTACTGTGATTTAGGTGGGCTCAGCTGGGTGCGTTGCTTTGGCTCCAGCACAGTCAGGATTAAGCTCTTGGCTATATTGGGCTCCTATCTGGAGGCTCTGGGAAAAAATCAGCGTCCAGGCTCATTCAGGTTGTTGACACAGTTCACTTTCTCGTGGTTGTAAGACCAGGGTCCCTGTGTCCTTGCTGGTTGTCAGCCAGAGGTGGTTCCTACCTCAGAGCCGGCCCTGCTCTGCAGAGCACAGCGGGGCCCTGCCTCCGCTTTCTCTCCTGCCGCCAGCACAGGAAGCTCTACTTAAAATGCTCCTGTGATGACGGACTCTCAGGGAATCTTCCAGTGGTTAGGGTCATCCAGCGGGGGTCCTAATCACAGCTGCAAAACCCCTTTGCTGTGAAAGGTGACGCAGTCACAGAAGCAACACCAGGGGCAGAAGTCACGCGTCCTTTTTCGGAGACTTGTTTATAGAAACATCAAATGCCTATTATGATGTGATTTTTGCAGAAATATGTTAATGTTTTAATGTAATGAAATATAAAAACTAGCACTTATTAAAGTTGTGTTAAGCTAATGTATAGTTTCCAAACTGTACTTTGTTCAAAATAAAGTTACTCATTACCCGTAATCTATAATACGAAGTACACGTAAGATGAACACTTTGTGAGGAGTTAATTGTGGGATAACTTCCTCTTCTGAGGATAATTTTTTAAGGGGGAAAATGTCTAACTATGTATGTGAACATATGGGACATTTAAATTTTAATGCTCAAAATTAATAAAAAGACTTTTTATTTCCTCTTCATGGTTTTTATTATTTTCACTGTCAACACATTAAATAACAAAACTCCAAGGCCAAAATTATCTAGTTACATCTTGAAATCAAATCAAGGTTTTCAATTGTCCAAGTTGCTTTCTAGGTTTTGTCTTATTTATTTTATCATCACGTATTTATAGAAACATAGACAAAACGTTGTATTTTATGTTTTTACTTAACATTTTACCCTGTGAATTTCCCTCTAGTCTGTCTTTTGTTACCTTGTGATACTTAGTTTCACGTCTAAGAACAGAAACGTGAATGTCCATGGTTCTGCTCGTTCACCCACTTACATGGCACAGATGGCTGACTACCTGTGCCAGCCGGGCCCGTGCCAGGCCGACGGACGCAGCCCCGAGTGAGACAGCCGTCCGGTCCAGGCATGGTTTCAGCCTCGCTGTCCTTTGGACTTCCTGGAGGCCTTCTAAAATTAAGGTGCCCAGGCCACACCCCAACCAATTAAATGACGGTGCCAGGCCACACCCCAGCCAATCAAACCCCAATCCCTGGGAGGCAGGACAGTCATTTGTCTCCTGCAGGTCCTCGGGTGGTTCCCATGTGCAGCCAAGGTTTGGAGTCACTGGTCTAGGAGAAGAGTCCAAAATTAAATAAATGTTATTTACATTGTGATGTATGTCATTTAAAAATAAATTAGTACTTTCTAAAAACGTTGGAAGCAATATATCAAGTCCCTTATGCTCTTCCAGAATCTTGTCACTGACCACCAGGAGGTTAACTCTGTTCCCCTTCCCCTTGAACCTGGGTGAACTTGGACAGTGGAGATGCTGCTGCCTGGCTAGGCCGTACACAATGCATGGCTCCATCCTGACTTCCTCTCAGGATGCTCCCCCAGAGCTCAGCTTCTACACTGTGAGAAAGTCCAGGACATTCCACGTTAAGACTGGCTGATGCCACAGCTAAGGTCTCAGCAGCCAGCGCCGTCCCCTGCACACACGTGGGAGTGAGCTTCCGGTGGTTCCAGGCCCACTTAGGTCTTCCAGCTGTCCTGACTCATCATGGGACAAAGATAAGCCTCCTCACTGTGCCCACAGAGTCCATGGCCTAATAAATGGTGGTTTATGTCACTGAGTGTTACACAGTCACATAACAGAGTAGATAAAGGCAGACCAAACCCAGCTTAGGTTGGAAAAGTCTCTCCCTAAGAACAGAAAATTTAAGCAAACATGCAAAATGGATCAAAAACCAAAATGTAGAAGCTAAAACTATGAAAGTCTAGGAGAACACATGGAAGAATATTCTTGCAACCTTGGAGTGAGCAAAGATTTGGGATCTAAAAAAGTATAACCCAAAAAATATCAAAAGGGATGAATTAGGTAACATTAAAATTTAAAATATATGCTGTTAAGAGTTTTAAAATGAAAAGGCAGGCCATAGTCTGGGAGAAAATATTTGTCCTACATATATCTGACAAGAGACTTATATCTGGAATATAGAAGGAACTATTAATAATAAAAACAGCACAGTTTTTCCTAAAAAGTGGGGGGATCTGAAGATTTGAATAGATAACTCACCAAAGAGAATATGCAGATCCAAATAAGCACATGCGAGATTCAATGTCATCAGTGAGCAGGCATGCAAGTGAACACCCAAAGAAGCTGCCTGACTCCCACGGGATGGCTGCGTTAGCCACAGACCTGCAGGTGTGCCGGAGGGGCGCGGCTGAGTTGTGGGCACCGTGGGGAGAAGTCGGGACCTAAGCAAGGCCTTAAGAGCTTAGTTGGATTTAATTCTTTTATGTTAAGCTTGTTTCATGAACAGTTGTACCTAGTCATCAGGATAGATTTTGTAGACTTGGTAGCATGGAGTTGAACAATGTATATATTTTTTTCTTCTTTTTCAGTTAAAAGAGATGTTTCCAGGCTTTCGATTAGCACTTCCACCAAAACGCTGGTTTAAAGATAATTACAATGCCGACTTTTTAGAAGATAGAAAATTAGGATTACAAGCATTTCTTCAAAATTTAGTAGCTCACAAGGACATTGCTCACTGGTATGTAATAAACGGAAATAAGAGGTTATAAATGCATTTCAACAGCTAGTTGAAGCCAAGACTAAGTCTAGGATGGTAGTTATTCAAGGTGAACAAAAGCTGTAAAACGAGTATAATTACCGAACAGAGCATGGAATTTTATTTTCTTCAGTGAGGAATTTATTTGCTGTTTGATTTGTATTAACACTTTTAAAAAGTCAGAAAAGTTAATAATTTATATATATTTAGACCACTCAACTCTTAACTTGATTTCAGTTTTTAGTATTTTAGCAATCATTTAAACAAAGTGGCCCTCATATTAGATTTTTGGTTAATATGACACTATAATTCTGAGGGTAATATTTTTCATATCTTTTCAAAGTAATGCAAAAATATGAAAATTGTGAAGCTGGGTTGGTTTGTATAGAAGGTAAAGTGAAAATACCAGAATCATTGAACAGGGAGAGAAAGGGTCTATGTGGGTTTTGCTTCTGAATGCATTTACCAGAAAGTTGCTGTATGATTTACTATCAGCTGGGTGTCTACTTTTGGAACTTACGTCGTCAGACAGTAACCTGTTCTGACACGCAGGGCAGGGCAGCGATGGCACACAGGCCTGTCCCAGCTGTCTTCAGCAGGTGTTCCCAGAAGGACGTAAAACAAGAGCCACCCATCTCACTCCTACCCTGCCTTCTCGGCGTTTGCACTGCTGTCTCTCACTCGGCGCGCCTGCACGCTGCTTCCTTGTGCTGCCGGCGCTGGCAACTGTGGGAGACTCTGCCTCCACCCTCCTGTCCAGCCAGACCCCCTCACCCCACACTCACTCGTGTGGGTGCCCCTTGACACTGGTGTCTCAGAGTGACCTGGAACTGAAAACAGGCTTAACAGCTGACTCTAGAATTTCCCCCAGGATTCAGCAGCTCTCTACCCAGAACCCCTTATCCCTTCATGTTGTAAATTACATTCACCTCTGCCTACGTTTCCCCGTTCCTGCCTTTGCACCCAAGTCCAGGTGGTCTCACCTGAGTCACTGCAGAAGCTCCCCAGTCTTGCTCCCCACTCGGGCCTCTGCAGCTGCCCGAGGCCCGGGACCTGTCGTGATGCGGTCTGACCTCTCACCTGCCCGCCTGTCTTTCTGGCTCTGCACTTTGCTTCGTCCCCTGCACGTCAGCTGTGTTGGTCTCTTTATTTCCTGAGGTTACCTTGCTCTGCTGTCTCTTAGGGCCTTGCACTGTCCTGTTCCCTGGAGAGGCCATGTTTCCCACTACTGCCCATCCATCCTGGCCCAGATAACTCCATACAGCCTTCAACTTTCAGCAGACTTTGCTTCCCTAGGCCCCTGGCTTTCCTGACCACCTGCAGGTGCTTTATGATCATCAAGACCTTGGCTTGGTTCCCTCTTGCTCAAGGAGCTACATGGGTTTTAGCAGGGATTGAAATAAAACATTGGTTTTTGAAGCAGTGTTCTGGATTAGAAGGAGTAGGGCTGAGCATCAGGACCCAGGTGGACTAAGAGGACAGGGTGGGAAATGACCAGGGCTAAACGAGCCCCACAGGGAGCCAGATGCAAGCTCCACACCACAGCCAGCTCCCACAGTGACCCTCGCTGTCACCACCCTGATCCCCAGTGCCTCGTGCTCAGGGTGGCATCAATGTCTTTGTTGTTGTTAATCTCCACCTGAGCATATTTTCCCATTGACATGACAGAGACACATTGATTGGCTGCCTCCCCACATGTCCTGACCAGGACCGGGCCTTGAACCCGTTATCCCCTGGTGCCAACACTCTAACCGCTGAGCCACACCAGCCAGGGCGTAATGTCATTTTTTAAAACCTTTTTAACAGGTGGAGAATAATGAGGAGAAATATTAACTGATCTCTATCTGAAATCCCTCAGTAATGTTTTGACACAGTGATTTATGCCTACTCTTGATTTGACAGAAGTGTTATCTAATACTTAGTACATTTTTTACTTAATTCTTAATTGACCTCTTAATGAATTGTCAGCATTAGTTTTAGGGTTTTGTTTTGTTTTTTTCCTTTTATTTCATGGTTATAAATACTCAAGTTTTCTCTGTTTCCTTGACTGTGTCCTTTATTACCTATGTTATCAAGTTTTATAGTCTAGAAATTTACTTCTCTTTGGGATCTTCTGGATTGCTTTCTTAATACCACTTCTCTATATTAATTCATATTGTTTTTCTTGGGGAAGATTTCACTAAAAATCCCATTTTTCTCTACATGACCTCCCCTGTCATTAGCAACTCATCGGGCCCCATCTGAACCAGAAGCCCCCTCCGGTGCAGGCGGTCATCTCCTTTGTGTGGTGCAATCAGAAATTACATTTCTGTCCTTTACACTTAAAAAGTTAAATACCCATTTATGTTTTAACATGTACATAGAGTTGTCTCTCTCCAAAATTGCTTTTAGAAAGTGGAGTATTTGTACAGAAGGAGCTTAATTTCCTATATTCTTAACCCATTTCTGATCATTCCAAAGTATAAGCATAACAATACCATAGGTCATTATTTTGAAATTTATGAACATCGATCAATGGCATGGTCGGAATTTTTTTTCTTGAACTCTCTAGAGAAAATAAGTAAATTAATATAATTTTTTAAAAAGCCTGCAAGAAAAATCTTTAACTTTTTTCAGAGTAAATACTCTTCAGTTACTTTAGAGTCATCTTCTAAAGAAACAAATGGAGTATAAGTTATCATAACAAGATAATGACATTTCTCAATACTTTCAGCCAGCACTTATTGGAAGGAGATCTCACCTCTTATCTGCTCATCATTCAGATTGGTCTCGGCACCATTCTTCTGAGTTGTGTTTCATGTCCTTGTAGCTTTTATAGAACACAAATTCCACATCTCTATTTATGTTCAGAAGGTCTTAGAAAATAGTTTAAAATCTTTGTATCTTCTATATATTCTACATTTATATTTGATTACTTGTATGAATCCACATAAACCAAATTGTTTATTTTGGTATGTCAGCAGCCGACATGCTTGAAACACTGTGTAACTTCAAAGTAACTTCTGCTTTTTGCAATCTTCTGTAAATTTACTTGTACCCCAGCTAATTTTCTTTCTCCTTTGAAAAGCCTGGCAGTGAGAGAGTTCCTGTGCCTGGACGACCCGCCGGGTCCGTTTGATAGCCTGGAGGAGAGCAGGGTGAGTGCTGCGCCCTCTGCTGGGGGAGGAACGAGCCGGCCAGTGCAGGGCTGCGTGGTTCCGCGAACGGGTACAGACCGCAGGGTGTGATGACCGCAGGCCACGGTCTGCACAGGGAGCTCTAATGTTTAAGTCAAAGGTTTGTTTCACTGAAATCCATGCACCTGATTCAGTGGAAACACAAAAAGCTCTAGAATTAGATCCTGCATTTTATTCTCTTTATTTTTACTTTTTCCAAAAAAAAAGGGAAGTTAATTATGAATTTATTTTACTACTTTTAAAAGTATAATTTAGTATGTTGAGTTTTTTTCCCATCTAAGTAGTCAAGAACCTATAGTTGAAATGAAACCGAAACTTATTTTCCGAGTAGAGTTCCTGTTCTGTTGTCAGTTCAGGTCGGACTCGAGGCCGCTCAGGTCACCTGACGCACGTGGCAGGCGGCTTCTTTCTTGAAGGGATTGCTAGGTTATCAAAGCAGACTTGGTGATAATAGATTAGCTAGAATTATTTTGTAAGTTTTTTCCCCCAAATGTTTATTGGTGCTTAAATGGAACAGGTTTAATTGGTAGTTTGGTAATGTTTCCAGTTGAACTGAGTCAGTCCCTTGTATTAGGGTGAATACCATTGCTTTTTAGAAACATCTTTATGAAGTAAGGTCTTCATCCACAAAACTTGCTATTTCATTGTGAATGTACAATTTAATAATCTTAGTAAATTTACAGTGCTGTGCCATAAACCAATTTTAGAAATTCCCATCGCCTGAAAAAAAGTTCCTACCAACCATTTTACATTCCCAGCCCCTGACAACTACGGGTCTGCTCTCTCTCTGTAAACTTGCCTTTTCTGATGTTTCAGATAAACAGTCACAGTGTGTGTGTGCGTGTGTGTTGCATGCACCTATTAAAATCAGTATTCAATTATATAACTTTATGTGTATGGTATTTATAACATTATATGCACTCTTTGTATATATAGAAACATATAATCCTTGTATCTGGTTCCTTTCACTTACTGTAATGTTCTTGAGGGTCATCCATGTCATAGCCTCTATCAGCGGTTTTCCATTGTATATGTGGACCCATCTGACCGCCCAGTCACCGGGAGGGACACGACTGTTCTGTTCTGTTAGGAATGATGCTGTTGTGAACATCCTTGCAGAGGCTTTGTGGGGACCCCCGTTTTCATTCTCCTGGTTTGGCTCCAAGGAGCAGAATATCTGTTTATATGGCAAATCATGCTTGACTTTTTTAAGAAACTTACACACTGTTTTCTAACGTGGCTGTACCATTTTACATTCTCACCAGTAGTATATGAGAGTTCCGTTTCCTCACAAATATTCTTTTCTTTTTTCTAGGCTTTAAAAATTAGGGTGACTTTACATTTAAAATTGACATCCCAGCTCCTCTTAAAAGATGGGTAGAGCTGGTGTCACTGAGTCCCCCTTCTTGCAGGCACAAGAGTCTCGAGATGAGCGTGCCCCCTCCGCAGAGCCAGCACACCCCCCCCCCGCCCGTGCCCTCCCCAGTGATGGAGGGTGAGGCAGGTCATGCTCTGGATGAGCCAGAGCACCAGCCAGAGCATTGGTATAGTAATACGATGTGTCTTTTGATTCTAGCCATTCTTGTGGGTGTGTAGTGGTATTTTCTTTTATTGATGTTCAAGAGAGAGGAAGAGAGAGGGAGAGAGCGATAGAAACAACAATGAGAGAGAACATCGACTGGCTGCCTCCTGCATTATCCCACTGGGGATTGGGCCCACAGCCTGGGCGTGTGCCCTGGCCGGGAATCGAACTGGGACCTCTTGGAGCCACACTGGCTGGGCTGTGTAGTGGTGTTTTATTACAGTTTTAATTTGCATTTCCCCAATGATTATTTTTATGTTGATTGCTTTTTCATGGGCTTTTAGCCATTCATGATTTCTTGGATAAATTTTCCAGTTAAGCCTTTTGCCCATTTTTTTAGTTGGGCTGTTTGTCTTCATGAGTTGTAAGAGATCTTTATTTTGGATACAAGTCCTATATCAGATAAATGATTTATAAATATCATCTCCCGGTCTATATGTGTCTTTTCATCTTCTGACTGGTCTTGTGAAGTGCTGATGTGTTTAATGTTAATGGAGTTTGATCAGTCACTTGGGCTTATGCTTTGGGTGTTGTATCATAAGAACTCTTTGCCTCATACAGGGTCACAAAGATTTTTTTGTACTTTTTTTTCTAGAATTTTTATAGTCTAAATTCCTACGAGTAGGTCTCTGACCCATCCCAGGATGATTTTTTTGTAAGGTCTCACACCACACAAGATGAGAGTCTTAAGTTCCTGTAGATATCTAAGTGTGTCACTGCCTTTATTGATCTATGTTGAAACCTTTATCAAAAGTCAAATGAAAATAAAAGGAAGGGTATGCTTCTGGACTTCCAATTTTCTTCATTGAGCCAGTCACCGATCCTCATGTGTCTGCTCGAGGTATTGTGTGTGCGTTTGGACAGTCTAAACCCGTCTAAACCCAGTCTGCTCCCAGAGACCCTGCCGCGGTTCCGTGTCTGCATGTCCCTGTGCTGTGTGCAGAGCGACGCTGGAAGCTGAAGGACCTTCCAGCTTCGAGTCCTCGTGTGGTACCTCCTTAAGGCAGGTCTGCTGGCAACAAACGCTCAATCTCTGTTTTTCTGAGAGTGTTCATTTTTGAAGCCCGGTGTATTGAGAGATTTGACCTTTGGTGCTCTGTCATCCTACTACCTTCTGGGCGCTGTGATTTCTGGGGGAAGTCAGCCGTGAATGATGCTGCCCCCCCCCCCATGCGCATGAAGCGCCATCCACCCTCACGACTTCCCAGCGCATGGTTCTCGCCGACTTCCAGCCGCGCGATGATGTGCTGACGTGTGGGTCTCTCTGTGTTCCCCGTGCTTCGGATCATTGAGCTTCTTGAGTTTGTCAGATTCATGCTTGACATCAGACCTGGGAAGTTGTTGGCCATGATTTGTTCAAATAATTTTTCAGTCTTTTTCCACCCTTTCCTTCTGGGATTCCTGTTACTTGTATGTTTATGTGCTTTGTGTTCTACATCATGTTTCCGGAGTGCCATTCATGCTTCTTCAGTCACTGTTCTCTCTGCTCGAGCCGGACAGTTTCCATGCTCATCCATCCTCGAGCTCCCTGATTCGCGCTTCTGACATCTCCAGTCTGCTGCTGAGCCCTCTTGTTAATTTTTCATCTAGATTATTATACTTTTCAAATCCAGAATTTATCTTTTTTGTCATTTATTTTTATTTGTATTGAGGCTCTGTTTGTCGAGCACATGCCTTGTTCATTGCTGTGGTTCTGCATCTCCACGCCTGGCAGGCTCGAGTTCCCTGCCCGACTCTCCTTATGTTGACTGCATGCTCTTCCCCGTGGACTCTAGGATCAAACATGTGAGTTCAAGGGAAGCCTGTTGCATTGCATTTGTCATTGCAGCAGGTCTCAGTCGGCTCTGGAGAGCACAGTCAGCAGCAGCGAGTCTTCCTTTGGTCTTCGCTGGCTTGGTCCTCTGAGCCCTTCAGTAAGGTTGAGTTTTCTTTCCTTAGACTTCTAAGGAAAACTGTAGGACTTATATTTTTATTTCATAATTGGTACTTTATTATACCCTGATTTGTTTTTGTGTATTGCTTTTATATGTCACATCTGTTGGTGAGAACTCTCATCAGTTTGCAAATTCTTTTGGATTCACTGTTTACTATTTCTGTGTGCTATTCCTGAGCTAATGCCAATGGAATCAGTAGCCTCAGGTTTTTGTTTAAAATGCAGCCATTGAGGCCTGGGCAGAAGGGCTGAGGAGACGAGAAACTCACACAGCAGTTGTCAGTGGTTTTTCGTTCTACACTGGAGGGTCCATCCCTGCTCTTCTCAGACACACTGGGGAGGGTGGGGAGGAGAGCTGAGGCCACGGAGACCAAGACGCACACACACACCTGGGCGCAGACGTGCTGCCATGGTCGCCGTGGTCTTGTCTCCTCTGCCGTGGTCGCCGTGGTCGTTGTGGTCTCAAGAGACACTGAGCACGTCGTCGAGTATATTCTTCCCCTGCATATGGTGTCTGTGTGTTTGTTTTTAAGGCTTTCTGCGAAACGTTGGAGGACACCAACTACCGTTTTCAGAAAGAATTACTTGAAAAACAAAAAGAGGTGGATTCGCTGAGGAAACTGCTCAGTGAGAAGCAACTTCGCATAGACACGCTCGAGAGCAGGATCAGGTGCGTGAGTCCGGCTCTCTCTGGGCGGCCCTTGTGTTGTCATGTGATCGAGGGAATCCTGGTTCCTGCTCACAGACTCTGGGCGTACTGCCTCGTACATGAAGAAAGTCATCTTTGATCATTGATTTCAGAGCCTGACCAGTGGAAGGTGGGGAACATCAGGACAGTGAGCCTCTCGCTGTTCCGCAGGACAGACATTGTTCATTTTAACTTACTTAAGTGGTCTTTCTGTTTCTAGGCATTTATGCCAAATTTTCACATACGAAAGTTCTAGTTTGCCTTCTCGTCAGCATGTATTGATGCTAAAATTGTTTTAAATCATAAACACTAATGTTCTATTGACTGCCAATCAGTCAGCAGGTTACGAGCCATATGCCTGCATTCAGACCTAGCAGCTGGGAGCGAGGAGGCTGTGCGCTTCACAGCAGCGCCCTGGCAGCCAGGAGGGTGCTGGGGAAGGTGACCTGTCCCTGTGGTTCACTCCTAGAGCGCTGTGCTCGCACCCCGAGGAGGCGCTGCGCCTGTCCGAGCCAGGAGGTGAGCCCGCCCCGCAGGTGGAGGCCCCTGTGCCGGGGGCTGATCCGGAAGTCCTGGACGACGAGTCCAGGTGCGTGATGTTGAGTCTGTGAGAGCCTGGTCGTCTGCACAGTTGGAGAGAGAGTGTTACAATACTCAACAGAGTATCTTTCATGAGCTCACTGACTGTCGCATCACAAATCTGCTGAGCAAACAGAAAAAGACTGGAGGTGCTCTCGGCTGTCCCACGCAGGAGTCTCGGGCTTCGGGCTGTCTGTTTTCTTACTATTTCATTCGAGGCTCTGTCTGAATTAACTGGGCTGTGGGTCAGTTAATTAACTTCTTTGTAAACCCTCACAAGCTACTTCTCCCACGGTGTTGCTCTCCATCCCGGTGTGGGTGCTGCTCTAGCCTCCACCTGCCCAACAACAGGAAGGATGAAAAACTGAATCTCTAGAAGTTTTTATTGCCTATAAATCCAAATTAATTATTAATACTTAAGTGTAAATGGTCAAGCTGTAATTAGGACAACACATTTATGTTTGTAAGGATAATTACAAATGAGATTTTTATGGACAAATAGTTGTTGGAAGAGCTGAAAGAGTTAACATTGATCTGCACAAGCTCTGGCAGGGACAAGTGGAAGCAGCCGGTTCTGGCTGGGCCCAGACGCTCTGGCACTGTGCCGGTGAGAGCGCGGCCCCGTCCCAACACTGACCTCTCTCCGCAGAGCTAGCGACAGGCCCTGCTGCAGGCTCCCGGAGCCCCAGAGCCCCGCGTCGGACATCGAGGTGGCAGAAGTCGCGTACGACGCCGAGGACTGACCTGCGGGCCCTCCCTTCCGACACTGCAACTCTGCGACCGAACACCAGTGCTGAGGGAGACACTGCCGGTCGCGGGACTGCGTGGACGCACGTGTGTGGCGTTGGCATGGGAGCCGCTCCGAGCTACTGGGACAGGAGCGTGTTCACTGCGCTCTGAGCAGTGTCTGTCGTCCCGCCCTTGGGTTCATGCACTAAAGAATCTAGTTAGATCTGTAATCAGCACCCACATTCTTAAATACTGGGCATGAATTATTTTGGTGTTTTGCCAATATATTGCTCCGAACCACTGTGTTTAAATTACGTTATATTAGTCAAACGCAATGCATTGCATGTTGCTCTCTGGCTGATGCGTCCTTCTTTGTGTCTTTGATATGATACAATTTCACTAACCGTTTAAACCAGTGGTAAAGGACTGAGGTTTAAATGTTGACATGTTTACCATCTCTACATAGAAATTGCTTATTTAGAATGTTACTATTTAAAAGTACAACACTCCTAGTACCAAAGGAAAACTGTGTGAAAGAGCTGTAATTATATAGCTAATGTGATGAAATAGCCTTGGTTTTAAAAGCTGATTCATTAACATCACAAGCCTAGAGTAGTTCCCGTTCACTGTTACACTTGTTTCCTTTCCACGTGGTCTTTATCTCCATTCTCTCCCTGCAGAATCAGTGAGCTGCCTCTGTCAGAACACTACCTCTTTGTGCTAACCAAGGCATACTCTTGAAAATATATTATAGAGTCTAAGTAAATAGGGAGTTATACAAAAAATAAAGATAAAAAGCCATATCTATCACAAAGGCCCTCACTGTGTTGGCTCCTGGCATTGCATTTTTATTCCTGTACATGTAAATATGTTACTATCATCTATTCTTAGCCGATTTTCTTTTTAATATATTTAGCCAAGCCATGCACTTTATGTGATTAACTCCTTTGTGCCAAGTCGAGTGGTACGTTTGTCCATGAGAGGAGGGAGGCGCTCCTCCGCTCTGTGCCCCGGCCTCCTCGGATCCATGCCCTCCCTCCGCGCGACTGGCGCTCACCGTGCTGCTGGGCGTCGTGTTCGCTGGTGTCGTGGCCCCGCCTCTGGTACATCGCACCTCGTCTACTTCTGAAAACAGAGGAGCTGGCGGGAGGAGGAGTGACAAGGTCCATCGTTTCTTCACCAAGAAACACACCCACGCGCGTCAGGGTGTTGGCTGCACTAGGCGTGGGGTTACAGTTCTCCCGTGGGCTGACAGGCCCAGCGTGGCTCTTAGCCCGTGGCCTACAGAGCAGACTGTACCAGAGACCAGACATCTTAGACGTGTGTCGGGTACCACGGGACGCGGTGTCTGTTCTCCCGGGTGCACCCGGAGTGCTCGCTCTCCTGGGACAGAGCGCAGCACCTGGTCATGGTGCCTCCCAAATGTTTTCCAGGGTTAAGGAAGGTTTAGAAAGAACAATCATTTAAACTAATTGATACAATTTTTAGTCTAATGAAACGTGATTATCTGTACTGCATTCCATATGTTAGAGCCCTGCGTGTCCGTCCCAAAGTGAGCCACGCGCAGCCCCACCTCCAGAGGAGTGTGGTCCCGTCGGGCGGGCGAGGAGCTGTTGGCGCGCCAGCCTCAGTCGCCTGTGTTCAGGGTCTACCTGTACTTTCTGATGTATTCGTTCAATAAATTATTTTTCCAGTGCAATAGTAGCTGTGTTGTTTAGACGTTGAGTACCCTCAGCCTAGGTCCCCGTGCCCATCCCCGTGGCCACCCCTATGCTCTCCCCCATGCTTGTCCCCACCCCTGTGCTCGTGCCCGTCCCCTCCCGTGCCCGTCCTCGTGCCCACCGTCACCATGGACTCTGTGCCAGCCGCTGCGGCGCGGAGGTGGGAGCAAGGCCGCGTCTGCCCTTCACCTGTCTGTGTGGAAAGGCACAGTGCTCTTCAAGTGTCAGCAGCATTCACAGTGGACAGACACCACAGCAGCCTCTTCCGTGGGTGACCTCTGTCCCTTTGAAGATGAAGCTGATGTTGAGGCAGTGCCACCACGTCTGCCCGCAGCGACCTGGCCAGCTCGGCACATCTGTTCGGCAAACTCGTTCCTCAGGCAAGTCACCTGCATGGTCCGCTTCACCTGTCTGCGACAGCTCGGCCGCCTCGGTCTCGGGAGGCTTGGATCTTTAAGTTCAAGGAATAGAGCGGTTTTGGGATCCTGTGAAAACAGGTTTGTATTCCCAGCTAGGAAGTAGGAGAATCTAAGTCTCATCCTCGGTAGACTTTTCAGAGTGTCACATCCGAGCCACCTTGACTGTCCAGTCACCTGCTCTGCACTCTCCTGCTTGTCCTTGGCTTCTGCAGCAAACCAGTCATCAAGGCTGTGTTTCCTTTTATTTTTACTTTATTTTTTTGTTATTGATTTCAGAGAGAGGAATGGAGGAGGAGATAGAAACATCGATGAGAGAGAACATCAATTGGCCGCCTCCTGCATGGGGATCAAGCCCACAACCTGGGCATGTGCCCTGACTGGGAATCAAACCAACGACTCTGGTCCTCGAGCCGACGTTCAACCACTGAGCCACACTGGCCAGGGCAGTGGGTACATTTTATAGAGAAGACAGAACACCGTGGCCAGTCAGTGAAGTGCGTATCCTGAGGTCGGGAGGCTGGAAGAGGACTTTCCTTGCACATGCACCTCGGCGGTTCTCTGTCACTGCCCTGGTCCAGATCACCAAGTGGCTGCCACGAGCTGCCACAGTAGTTTCCTGACAGACGTTCCTGATCCCACAACGTCCCCGTCTCCCATGGTAGCCACGGTGTTCATTTTGAAACACTGTGAAATCATGTCGTTTTCTCTACTTAAACCTTTCAAAGTTCTCCCATAGTTTCATATCGCAGAATTCAGACTTCGTCACAGGGCCTCCCAACATGATTCCACGCCACCAGCTTCTCTGCATGGTGCCAGCCACGTGGTCCCCTCCCTGCTCCCTGAGCCGGCGAGGCCTCCTGCCTCCTGTCCCTGCAGGCTCACCTGCTCTTAGCCCAGTTCTGTTTCAGAATATGCTTCCAAGTTGAACCAACCTAGGTTCGAGTTTGGGCTCTGCCTCTTCCCTGGGGGGACGTCATCACCTCTCTGCTGGTGCTCACTTCACTTGGGGCCGGATCGTGCCCACCACCGACAGTGCTCAGCAGAGGGCTCCGTGTCGCCTGTGGCCTGGAGACAGCCTCAGCCAGAGGCCAGCACGGGGTGGGTGCTGAGCGAGTCAGCGTGCGAGCCTGTCCCCTGCCCTCTGTCCTAGGAAGGTGACGAGTCAGTCCCAGTGCGGAGAGGGCGAGGGAGAGAGCCGCCTGCCTGCTGAGCCGTCCACTCTCCCACCTCTTGTGGGTTTGCTCCGTGAGCGCGGGGTCTCTCTGAGTTTTCATGGAAATCCGTTTGGAAGGCCCCCACACCGACATAATTGGAGCTGCTGTCCAGCCTCCTCCGTCACTCACCCACCTGTCGTTCTAGCCCATCTCAGCCGCTGGGGGTCCCGAAAACGCTCCCTCAAAGCCTGCAAACCACATGCCCACACTTTCTTCCAGTAAGAACACAGCCAAACGTAATTGGGGAGCTCAACTTTCTCCTCCTGCAGCCTTCCCAGTCCGTCTTGTTTCACTGGGGATGTTTGCAAACTGTCCCATAAACACGGAGAGCTAAAATGGAACTCCCAGAGTAAAGGCGGGAACCAAACAGGCGTGTTATTTAAGGGCACAAAGAAATCGGGAAACTGAGCAGTTGATCTGTTCGTGGTCAGATATTAAATTCCCCTAAACTTGTTCCCAGAAACATTATTTTCTTTTAACTTAATCCCACTCTCAAATATGTCAAAGGAATGATATTGATGTGTTGTGCTGTCAAGGTGTGCCAAGGCGATATGGAAGTCACTTCTGGAATTTTGTCACTGTGACCACACAGGGTGCCGGCGCCTTGTGCTCCTCGTTCAGTGACACGAGGGGCTTGAAACTGAGACTGTTTGAAAGTAAACACGATGTGAGCGCTCAGTCCCTTCTTTTTTCACATGCTGCTCATGATGTACAAGGAGACAGATGCTAAGAAGCTGCATTTTGAGAGATGGAGATGAGACTTCAAATTCAGTCAATATGCCCTCATGCATGCCAAGATTCCTGCCCATGTCCATGGAGTTTCTGGAAAATGATGGCAACAAAAACACAGTCTATACTGGCCTTGGGTTCTGTCTACAGAAAGAGTTCGGTTATCTTGAGCATTGCTTTCAAAGACCCAAAGCTTTGCCACTTGTAAACATCAGGCATTCAATCTGCAAACATCGGCCACCTCCTGGCAGGCACTGCAACGAACAGGCCCTTGGCAGCCCGGCTCCTCTCAGTCCCCACTGTGAGCCCTGCACCCAGGCAGGCTGTGTCCAGCTGGGGGTGTGATCGTCCCTCTGGGAGGCCCAGAGAGTCGGCCTGCAGTGCCATGCACATCCCTCTAGACCAGTGATTTCCAGTGGTGAGTCGCAAGAATGTTTAAAACTCGCAACGCCTGACTGTTTAGTCAGGGGCACTGACCTCTTTTTTCTTAGACTGTCAAATACAAAAATGGAAACAGCCGACACAACGATAGCCATCTGGTGTAAAAGAGTCAAAGTTCTGCCCTTGGTGTGTGTGTCAAATCGGCCAAAGATGTATTCTTTGGTGTGCCACAGAATTTTAGTAATTAGTTTGTGTGTGCCACGGGCTGAGAAAGGGGACACCGCTGCTCCCGTGGACTGCTTGCTGCCTGGGCTGTACCCATTCGCTATGAGTCCACCTGCCACATAGCCCATCACTGTTTGAGCCATGGCATCGCCCACACACGCCAAGGGCTCAGCCGATATAGTTCACGTACGAGTCACCCAGCAGATCATTGGGTTCTCCTTTGAATTCCTTGGTAAGGAGTAAGCTTCCCCACAGACCAAGGCTTCTCCCAGTTATCACGGTCGCAGGACAGCCACCTGCACCACCCAGGTGTCACGGCAGCCCTGATGTTGTCACAGGAAGCCTCTCCACGTCCACAAGAACCCAGTTCAACCCTATGGACTGCCTGTCTCCTGGTTTATAAAGAACAAGTTTCCATTTTTAAATGTCAGTGAATAGAAGCCAACCTGTTCTGGCCTGATTCGAAGGAACGCGGACTTGCCTTACAGTGAGGGTCGGTCTCCCCCTAGTGGCAGCCACGGGTGTGAGCACTTGAGGATATTCTGGGCCTGGTAAAACCACCAGGGGGCGGCCAGGAACACCCAACTGAGAACCCCAAGGTCTCGAAAACCAGCTGTCTTTCAAGCTTGTCAGACGTCAAGGAGACATGTCCGGAGATGTGTCGTGAGTTCCTGTCTCATCTAAGACGTGTCCCAGCGGAATCAGGGTAGTTCTCCAGCAGCCTGTACAAGGGCGACTTTCATTCACACTTTGGTCAATTTTTCCCTTCACTTTCAGAAGATAGGAACACATCTCAGATGCTAAATGTCATCATCAACCATTTCTGAATGGCAATAAACTTTTCAGTGTATTAGTTCCTATTATTTTACCCGTTTTTCACGAGGAAGCCAGGTGCACTGCACGGACAGGCGTGTGTTTCACAGGCGTGTGATTCTGGGGGCGTTGCCCGCCAATGGCCCTTTTCACAGTCCCACGCCCTCGGTTCCTGCACAGAAAGTGTCCTATCCTTTAACTTCATTTTTGTTTCGTTTCAGCCAGTTTTCTAAAAGTGGCAAATTTAATAATTTTGTGTAACCTTAGTTTGAAAAAATAAACCCTTTACGGCACAGCCTCCTTCCCGAGGAACCTAGATGTGCTGAGAGAAGCGGCTGTCGGATGATTCAGGAAAGCTGCGGCGTGGCCAGACGGAAGTGGGACGTTTGTCCCTGCGGCCAAAACATGTAGCAGACGCTGGGGACGTCCGGGTTCTCCCATCGTCCCGGCCCTCTTCCCCAGCCGCAGTTCCCACTAAGTGGACATCAGCCACCTTGTTCTCTCTGCAGCTGTAATCTGCTGACTCCAAATATTGTTAGATTTAACCCTCCTGTGGACCCTATAAAGACGTTTTTAAACACTTTTTCACAAATGAAGATAAGGAGGGTCAACAAAGTTCAACAATTATCTGAGGTCGTCGTGGTGGAAGTTGGAACATACCTTCCAAACCCTTCAAGTAGGAACTTACTCCCTGGTCCACGTGAACCGTGGCCTGTGGACTCCTCGCCGAGACCACGCCATCTTCCCAGGTCAGCCACAGCCAGTGACCAGTCTCCAGGGGGAGTTCTCCTCAAAGATGTCACTTCAGTCTCACAGAGTTGGCTAAGCTCAATGTCTCCTAGTCGGTGTTTCCTTCTTCCCTTTCCTTCCTTGGTCGGTGCCCAAAGCACTTCTCCTCAGTGAGCCCCCATAGGCAACTCTCCATCGCGTCGGCTTGCCAGGGGACCCGGCAGGTGGCAGTCACACAGCTAGACGCTGGGACCAGAGAGTCTAAGTCAGTGGCCACGGCCTTAACCCCTGGGCCGCCACCTCCTACGATGAACAAGCCTCGCTTATTGCTGTATCCCTGGCATGGAGCACAGGTCGTGGGTGCTCAGGAAGCGTTTGCCAGTTCCCCTTCTCGTCTATCTGTTTCTTTGTCTATTTGTTTGTCTGTTTGTTTGTTTAGT